TGATGATGATGATGATGATGAGGATGATGAGGATGATGATGATGATGATGATGATGATGATGATGATGATGATGATGATGATGATGATGATGATGATGATGTTGATCATGCTGATGATGATGATGATTATGATGATGATGATGGTGGCGGTGATGATGATGATGATGATGATGATGATGATGATGATGATGATGATGATGATGATGATGATGATGATGATGATGATGATGATGATGATGATGCTGCTGATGATGATGATGATGATGATGATGGGATGCTGATGCTGATGATGATGATGATAACGATGATGATGCTGATGATGTTGATGATGATGCTGACGAGGATTATGACGGTGATGCTGACGAGGAGGGTGCTGGAGATGATGAAGATGATGATGATGGTGATGCTGATGATGCGGACGATGCCGATGCTGCTGCTGATGACGATGATGATGCTGATGATGGTGATTGTGCTGATGCTGATGATGATGCCTCTGCCGCTGACGCTGATGATGCAACTGATGATGAGGACGAGGGGGATGAGGTGGGCGTGGAGGAGTACGCGGATACTGCTGCCTGTACGCCTGTATGCGTGCAACCTGCTGCTGCTGCTTATCAGGATCGAGCTGCTGTTGCTGCTTATGATGGTGATTGGGATGCTGACGAGGAGGAGGAGGAGGAGGAGGAGGAGGAGGAGGAGGAGGAGAAGGAGGAGGGTGAGGAGGAGGAGGAGGATGACGCTGAGGAGTAGGAGGATGATGTCGATGATGATGATGCTGCTGTTGTTGATGATGGTGATACTGGTGATGCTGATGCTGCTGATGATAATGATGATGATGATGATGATGATGATGATGGTGATGACGCTGATGCTGCTGCTGGCGACGATGCGGATGATGCTGACGACATTGGGTATGCCGAGGCTTATTATGATTGTGAGGATACTGCGGATGTTGATGATGATGCTGATGATGATGATGACGCTTCATAATAATGATTCTGGTGCTGATGCTGATGCTGATGCTGATGATGCTGGTGACGATGCTGATGCTGATCATACTGATGTCGAGGCTGATGATGAGGAATCTGGGAACGATGAGGAGGCTGAGGAGGGGGAGGAGGAGGAGGAGGAGGAGGAGGAGGACTAAGATGATGATAATGCTGACGAGGAGGATTACAATGATGCTGCTGCTGATGATGAGGATGTTGATGATGATGCTGATGGTGATGGTGATGCTGCTGAGCATGATGCTGCTGCTGATGATGATGCTGATGCTTCCGATGCTATTGATGCTGATGCTGATGCTGATGATGAGGATGATGACGCTGACGACGATGCTGATATTGATGATGATGATTGTGATGCTGCTAATGCTGCTGCTGATGCTTATGATGATGATGATGCTGTTGATGATGATGATGCTGATGGTGATACCGCTGAGGATGATGAGGATGCTGCTGCTCATGATGATGATGATGATGATGCTACTGAGGCTGATGCTGACGATGATGGTGATGATGGCGACGATGATGATGCTGATGATGATGCTGATGCTACTGCTGATGATGATACTGATATTGGTGACGATGATGATGATGATGTTGATGATGATGATGATGATGATACTGATGCTGATACTGATGCTGACGATGATGATGACGAGGAAACTGAGTTGATGATGATGCTGATGATGACGATGACGATGACGATGCTGCTGCTGATGATGATGATGATGATGATGATGATGATGATGATGATGATGATGATGATGAGGGGGAGAAGGAGGAGCAGGAGGAGGAGGAGTGGGATGAGGAAGAGGAGAGGAGGAGGCGGAGGAGGATGAGGAAGAGGAGGAGGACTCGGATGAGTCCGAGGACAAAGATAAGGATGATGAATAAGACACGAGGGTAACGCGAGGATGAGGACGAGCGGATGTGGCGGAGGAGAAGGGGCAGGATATGTAGGGGGAGGAAGAGTCGAACGAGGACGAGCAGGAGGAGGCAGACAAGAACGAGGAGGAGGAGGAGCAGCAGTAGCATCAGCAATACGGTCATGATGATGAGGAGGCGGAACGGGTAAACAGGTAGAAGGGGAATGTGGGGAACAGGAGTGGTGGGGGTGTTGTGGTGGCGGCGGTGGTGGTGGTGGTGGTGGCGGTGGTGGTGGTGGCGTGTGGTGTGTGTGTGTGTGTGTGTGTGCGTGTGCGTGTGCGTGTGTGTGTGTGTGTGGTGTGTGTGTGTGTGTCTGTGTGTGTGTGTGTGTCTGTGTGTGTGTGTGTGGTGTGTTGTGTGCGTGTGTGTGTGTGTTTGTGTGTGTGTGTGTGTGTGTGTGCGCGTGTCTGTGTGTGTGGGTGTTGTGGGAGGGAGGGGCGGTGGGGGGGGGGGGTATGATTAGGGTGGGTGGGGTGGTGGTGGTGGTGTGGGGGGGGGGTACCTCGCCCTCGCCGCGCCATCCTCACGCCTGCCCCCATCCAATCCCCTGGCTGGGCGCCAGCGTGCAGGCACGACGCCGTCAGGGACTGGGGGCCGCAGGACCTCCCCGCAGTAGTGTTTTGGAGGCATCGGGCCATCGGGCGGGCGGGACGGGAGAGGGGCGGGTATCCAGAAGGGGGGAGGTGGGTGCAGAATGGGGTAAAGGGGGATGGGGCAGCGCCTCCAGATGCAGGAGCCTGCCAGGAGGTCACTTTTTTGTTGGTGCGTCTGCAAGTTATGCTCTTGGACTTGCAGCGTTTACCCAGTCTACAAAGGCGTGGTCGACGAGGAGAGGCGGGGATGGATGCAGCGACCAGGATGCTGATCACGCGGGGGAGGGTGTTTAGGATGTGGATGATGGTGATGTTGATGATGGGGGTGATGACCAGGATGATGACGATGCTGGTGATGATAGCCGTGACGACGGCGATAATGGGTATGATGCCGACGGCAACGATCGCAATGCTGATGATGGTGGCGCTCATGATTAATATGATGCTGCTGGCGACGACGACGACGTCGTCGATTATGATGATGGTGCTGCTGTTGATGATGATGTTGATGATGATGATGCTGATGATGATGATGATAAAGATGATGATGATGATGATGATGATGATGATGATGATGATGATGATGATGATGATGATGATGATGATTATGATGGTGGTGGGGGTGGTGGTGGTGGTGAGGATGATGATGCTGATGCTGATACAGATGCTGATGATGATGAGTATGATGATGAGGAGCATGCCAACGCTTATGACGGCATGGGGAGGGAAACGCGACGGAGCGGAGACGGATGCCGGTATTGATGATGGCGATTCTGATGGTGATGGTGATGGTGATGGTGATGGCGATGATGCTGATGATGATTATGCCGGTACTGATGATGGTGATGACGACGATGATAATGATGATGCTGATGATGCTGATGATGCTGCTGCTGATGATGCTGATGAGGATGAAGATGATGATGCTGATGATGATGATGATGCTGATTAGGTTGCTGATGATGATGCTGATGATGATGATGGAGATGCTGATGATGCTGGTGTTGATGATGATAATGATGCTGCTGTTGTTGCTGATGATGATGATCATACTGATGATGTTGGTGCTAATGGTTGTGGTGGTGATGATGATGATGGTGGTAGTAATGATGACGATTACGATGATGACGGCGATGGCGGTGCCAGTGATGATGAAGATGAACTTGATGGTGGTCAGGATGAACAGTTTTGATGCCACGACTGATGGCGATGATGTGGGCGGTACCGTTGACGAGGATGCTGATGCCACTGGTACTGCTGCTGCTGCTGCTGCAGATGAGGACACGGTTGATGTCGATTGCCATGCTGATGATTCTGATGATGACGATGATGACGATGATGATGATGATGATGATGATGATGATGATGATGATGATGACGATGATGATGATGATGATGAGGAGGAGGAGGAGGAGGATAAGGACGAGTGGGAGGAGTATGGTGAGAAACATGAGGACGAGAAGGAAGAGGAGGATGATGAATATGCAATAACGAACGCATTGAGGAGGGAGGGAGCAAGTCGTCGACCTTTTCCCTCAAGTGGCCTTTGCTCCAGGATGGCGCTGCAGAGGCACTGGAGGATGAGGAGGGAGGGGGTGAGGCTACGGCCATTGATCGCCTAAGACTGGTTAGCAGACAAGACAGGCAATGGTGGAAGGAGGTCTGGAAAAGGGGCGATGATGATGCTGCTGCTGATGATGATGATGGTGATGATGATGGTGATGATGATGGTGATGATGATGGTGGCGATGATGATGATGATGATGATGATGATGATGATGATGATGATGATGATGATGATCATGATGATGATGATGATGGTGGTGATGATGATGATGATGACGATGATGATGATGATGATGATGATGATGCTGATGATGATGATGATGATGATGATGATGATGATGATGATGATGATTGGTGATGCTGCTGATGATGATGAGGAGGAGGAGGAGCAGAGGAAGAGAAACAAGTTTGGCTTCCTCCCGCGATGCTATTTAGAGCCCCATCCGTCTAACTCCTACTGGCCATTGCAAGAGTAAAGAGCACGGGTGAGTAAATAGATCACTGGGTGCGCTTGGTGAGTAGGTTTCCATCTTCAGCCGGTGTCGATTTGCCTCGTTATGATCTTGCGCCAGATCCCAGACATACTCTACGTGCTGGGTGCATCCTGGCGGCTCTGGCAGCCCTTGCTCGTGCCTCCTATTTCCGTGATCCCACACTCTGAGGATTTCCAAGCGATCCGGCCGCCTCAGCCCCATCGGTAGTGCTTCGAATGAAAAGGTGCATGTGTTAGCCACGATCGTCTCAGATCTTCTCTTACGCTGCTGCACTTCGTATGGGTCATCACACCTCCTCACCCGGGCTCGTCTTTTTTGCTATCGTCTTAGTCATTCTCTTCGTTTTCGCCCTAAATCCTCTTCCTACCCCTCCATCGCTCTCCTCCTCCCTCGTTCTCTTCTTCCTCCTCCTTATCCTCCCTTTCCTCCCCCTCTTCTTCCTCCCCTCCCCCCCCCTTATCTTCTATCCTTCTCCTCCTCCTCCTCCTCCTCCTCGTTCTTCCCGTCCCCTTCCCGTCCCCGAGGAATCGATCCCCTGACCTTTCCAGGGGTGCGCTCATACGAGAACTTCGAGGGGAACCCAGCCGTGACCACGAGGGTGCCCCAAAGACCCCAGCAATTACAGAAACGTCCAGAAACATTAATCCTCGAGATTTGAGCTTCGAACCTCCGTCTTCGAGCCTTGTTCCTCCCTCCTCCCTCCTCCCTCCTCCCGCTCCTCCTCCTCCTTCTCCTCCTCTCCTCCTCTTGCTCCTCCCCTCCCCTCTCCCCTTTTCCTCCTCCTCCTCTCCCTCCCTCTCCCTCCCCCTCCTCCCTCCCCCGCCCCCTGGCCCGCCAGAGGACTGGCAGTGGGGGGCCCTGCAGCTGCTGTTGGCCATCGCGCTGCCGCACCTTGGGGTGCACCAGGACGGGGCGGCCAGGGAGGTCAGGAGGGGGAGGGGGAGGGAGAGGAGGGATGGAGGGAGAAGGAGGAGAAGGATGAGGAGGAGGAGGAGGAGGAGGAGGGGGAGGACGAGGAGGAGGAGGAGGAGGAGGAGGAGGAGGAACGATGTTCGAACACCGAGAAGGAACGGAAGGAGGAGGAGAAGGAGGAGGAAGAGGAGGAGGAGAAGGAAGACGAGGAGGAGGAAGAGGAGGAGCGAGGACGAGGAGGCGGAACGATGTTTGAACATCGAGAAGGAACGGGGGGAGGATGATGAGGAGGAGGACGAGGACGAGGAGGAGGAATGGGGGGATGAGGAGGAGGAAGCGGCGGATGAGGATGCGGAGGTGGAGAAGGCGGAGGAGGATGAGGAACACTCACAACATGGCGAATCATAACAATGCTTACAGCTGCTAGGACAGTGGGAGGTTCGAGGACACTACTAGTACGACCACCACCACCACCAAATCTACTACTACTACTACTACTACTACTAGTGCTACTACTCCTACTACGACTACGACGATTACTACTACTACTACTGCTACTACTACTAATGCTACTACTATTACTGCTGCTGCTGCTACTACTACTACTACTACTGCGACTACCACTACCACTACTACTACTACTACTACTACTACTACTACTACTACTGCTGCTGCTACTACTACTACTACTACTATTACGGCGACGGCTACTATTTCTATCATTATTACTACTACTACTACTACCACCACTACTACTTCTACTACTACTACTACTACTACTACTACTACTACTACGACTGCCACTACCACTACCACTACCACTACCACTACCACTACCACTACCACTACCACTACCACTACTACCACTACTACGACTACGACTACGACGACGACTACTACTAATACTACTACTACGACTACTACTACGACTACTACTACGACTACTACTACGACTACTATTAGTACTACGACGACTACTACTGCTACAACAACAACAACAACTACTACTACTACTACTACTACGACTACTACTGCGACGACTACTACTACTACTACAACAACAATAAATACTACTACTACTACTACTACTGCTACTACCACTGCTACTACTTCTACTACTACTACTACTACTACTACTACTACTACTACTACTACTACTACTACTACTACTACTACTACTACTACTACTACTACTACTACTACTACTACTACTACTACTACTACTACTACTACTACTACTACTACTACTACTACTACTACTACTACTACTACTACTACTACTACTACTACTACTACTAATACTACTACTACTACTACTACTACTACTACTACTACTACTACTACTACTACTACTACTACTACTACTACTACTACTACTACTACTACTACTACTACTACTACTACTACTACTACTACTACTACTACTACTACTACTACTACTACTACTACTACTACTACTACTACTACTACTACTACTACTACTACTACTACTACTACTACTACTACTACTACTACTACTACTACTACTACTACTACTACTACTACTACTACTACTACTACTACTACTACTACTACTACTACTACTACTACTACTTGGGAGCCTCTGGGGGCACTCTTGGGGCCTCCTGGGGGCTTCCTGGGGGCCTCTCGGAGGCATCTTCTGGGCCTCCTTGGGCCTCTTGGGGGCCTTGGGGGGCTTGTCGGAGGCCTCTTTGGCTGTCTTAGGGCGTTCCTGGCTCGCCTGGCGCCGTCGGAAGCCGTCTTGGGGGCCTCTCTGGGCCGACTTGGGGCTCTCTTGAGGTGCTCCAGGGCCGTCTTGGAGGCCATTTTGGGCGTCTTGGAGTTCTCTCTTGGGCCGTCTTGTGGCGCCTTGGGGCCGTCTTGTGGGCCTCTTGGGCCGGTCTGGGGCCATCTTGGAGGCCTCCTGAGCGATCTTGGGGCGATCTTTGGGGGTCCTTGGGCCGTCTCGGGCCGTCGGAAGGGCGGGGTTCACTTCGTTCGGAAGCTCCCGGGCGAAGCGAACCCCACCCTCCCCCTCAGAAATCGTGGGGGGCAGGGGCAGGGTTCGCATGTGGCCCCCTGCTTGGGCCGTCCTGGGGGCCTCTCGGGGCCCTCGTGGCCCGTCAGGGGGCCCTCTTGGGCACGCGGGGCGATGCCGGGAACTCCACGGGGCACGCGCGGAGCCCCAGGAAGAGTTGGCCCGTTCGGGGTCCGGGCCCGTCCAGGCGCCTCCAGGTGAGGGGCAGGCCTGAGGGATTGGGCGCAGGGCCTGGGGACACGCCCACTCCGTGCCCAGCGCCAGGGGCCTGTTCTAGTCCTCCTCCTCCTCCTCCTCCTCCTCCTCCTCCTCCTCCTCCTCCTCCTCCTCCTCTGGGACCATCGAAACGACGCGCGCCAAAAAGCCGGCCCATGCGGGTTCAAGTTTGATGAGGCTCAGGTGGTGACGAACAGACCTGGCGTCGGAGGTCTGGGGATGAGGGGACAGGAGGAGTAGGACTTCGAAGCTCGTGAGCGTTCGGACGTTTTCTGGACATTTTCGGGCATCCGTTGCTGGCCGCGAGAGGGCGCTCGAGGAACCTTGGCAGTGGTCAGTGGGGTCTCGCCAATCTCCAGGGGGGGGGGGAAAATGCTGGTACTGCCAACCGTTTCCTCGGCGCCGCCCTCTGGGGACTGCTGGGGGGGCATTCGTCGCCGCGGCCAGGTTCGCCCCAACGTCCTGGCCTAAACGCACCATGGGATAGACCTTGGGCGTTGCGGTGTCGTGAAAGTTTTGCCCCCGCAGAGAACTCAGAGCTCACGTGGGGCGTTTCCCGAAAGGGCCTCGCCTTCGAGGGATCGCGAGGGGCTGGCGTTTCTCTTTCTCGGCGGAGGGCGGGCGGAAGGCCAGCGGAGAGCGGCGGCAGCAAAACTGGGGCGGCTCCGTCGGCGGAAAAGGCCAGCGGACGGCCAGCGGAAGGCCCAGCGGACGTCCGCGGAAGCAACCATCAGTCCTCCAAGAAGGGATGACAACTTGTTTGGATTCAGCGCTTCCAGAAGGGCCCACATGAGCGACAGAAGAAAATCGGGGTCGCCTGCGCCCACACTGGCGCGCAAGCTCCTCGCGCAGTGAGGTCGCGCGCGACCGCACTCGCTTCCAGAGCGGCGTGCCGCGCTGGCGGCCGGCGTATGGCTACCGCGTAAGGTCGCTGTGCTGTCTCGCGCAAGGCCCGTCTCTCGTCGTCGCCCCGCGTGGAGGGGGCAGGGGGGCCACATGCGAACCCTACCCCTACCCCCCACGATTTCTGAGGGGGAGGGTGGGGTTCGCTTCGCTCGGGAGCTCCCGAGCGAAGTGAACCCCACCCGCCCCCTCAGAAATCGTGGGGGGTTAGGGGCAGGGCTCGCATGTGGCCCCCCAGGGGCAGCGCAGCCCGCCCAGGCAGCTCGAAGAGGCTCCGGGAGCGTCGCCCCAGAGCCTCGCGGCGAGGGCGGCACGGCCGGCGTGGCCCCGGGCGCGTGGCCTCTTTGGGCCCCGCGGCGCGGCCAGGAGAAGCGCCACGTCTGGGTCTCCGAGGACACCCTGGGCGCCATCCACAAGGCGTCGGTCAACTGCACGAAGGCCCCGTTCTCGGGGCGCCATGTCTGCGCGTCTCCCCGGGGCTGGCGCAGCCGTCAAGAGTGGCTGGGCGCTGCCCAGTGCGGTTGGACAGCTGTCAGAGGTGCAGGGTCTTCCTTTTGAGTGTGTGTGTGTGTGGGTGCGTCTTCGCACGTCCTATTCTGCTCTTCTTTTTTTTCGACTGGCTTGAGGCCGAAAGTAATTACGTGGAACTGGGCTCCTGCCTTGTTCACTTTATGACCGATTCAGCCTGCAGCTGGATACGACTCGTCGATCCTCGTGTTCTGCTCATAGTGGGCGACCTTACGAGACCGCCTGGATGGGCGCTCCGCAGGCCGCCGACGCTGAAAAAGTGTGTGTGCGTGTGTGTGTGTGTGTGTGTGTGTGTGTGTGTGTGTGTGTGTGTGTGCGTGCGTGCGTGCGTGCGTGCGTGCGTGCGTGCGTGCGTGCGTGCGTGCATGCATGCGTGCGTGAGTGTGTGTGTGTGTGTGTTTGTGAGTGTGCGTGTGTGAGTGTGTGTGTGTGTGTGCGAGTGTGTGCGTGTGTCTGCTGTTAGTCGGAAGCTGGAGCATATAAATTACCAGTGCCGCGCTGCTTTTCAATCCCAGGGCTCGTTGAGGGTCGGTGACGACGTCGGGGTGGTGTGGTGTATACTTTTTTGTTTTTCGCTTCCCGGGGAAACAGCGAAAAATATATACACCAGGATCCTGTATACACCAGGATCCGCTTTCTTGTGCAAACTTCATTGCAGGGTCGCACAAAGCGTCGGTGTATAGAGTTCGGTTCCCTTGTTAGGTGTGCGTATGACACGGCTGATCCACTCGGATGGACCCCTGTTTTTCCCAACCATCCTGTGGTGTTGGGTCTTCGTTTTGAAGAGACAGCGCCCCGCGTCCTCACTCCTCCCGATGCCCTCCTCCCTCCATCATCATCATCATCATCATCATCATCATCATCAGCCTCAGCCTCAGCCTCAGCCTCAGCCTCAGCCTCAGCAACAGCATCAGCATCAGCATCAGCATCAGCATCAGCATCAGCATCAGCATCAGCATCAGCATCAGCATCAGCATCAGCATCAGCATGAGCATCAGCATCATCATCAGCATCATCATCATCATCATCATCATCATCATCATCATCACCATCATCATCATCATCATCATCATCATCACCATCATCATCATCATCATCATCATCACCATCGCCATCATTGTCTTCGTCACAACCCTCATTAGTTTCGTGGCCCCATAGGTAGCTCCACCGACGGCCCCACTGCCACCGTCCACACGCGTCCCCCGCACCAATTTCCCACCGAAGGCCCCAGTGCTACCGTCCGCATGCGTCCCCCCACCCATGTCGGCACACCCCTCACACGTTTCGTGGCCCCATAGGGAGCTCCACCGCAGGCCTAGTGCCACCGTCCACATGCGTCCCCCACACCCATTTCGGCACACCGCTCATACGTTTCGTGGCCCCATAGAAAGCTCCACCGACGGTCCCAGTGCCACTGTCCACATGCGTCCCCCGCACCCATTTCTTCGGCACCCCCCTCGCACGCCTCGTGGCCCCATAGGGAGCACCGAAGTCCCACCTGCCACCGTCCACATGCGTCACCCCACACCCATTTCGGCACACCCCTCACACATTTCGTGGCCCCAGGGGGAGCTCCACCGAAGGGGCCAATGCCACCGTCCACACGCGCCCCCCGCACCAATTTTGGCACATCCCTCGCACGTTTCGTGGCCCCATAGAGAGCTCCACCGAAGGCCCCAGTGCCACCGTCCACACGCGACCCCTGCACCCATTTCGGCACACCCCTCACACGTTTCGTGGCCCCATAGAGAGCTCCACCGAAGGCTCCACTGCCACCGCCCACATGCGCCCCCCACGCCCATTTTGACATACCCTTCACAAGCTTCGTGGCTCATAAGGAGCTCCACCGAAGGGCCCTGTGCCAAGGTCCACATGCGACCCCCGCACCCATTTCGGCGCACCGCTCACACGTTTCGTGGCCCCATAGGGAGCTCCACCGAAGGCCCCAGTGCCACCGTCCACATGCGTCACGCCACACAAATTTCGGCACATCGCTCACAGCTTTCGTGGCCCCATATATTGCTCCACCGACGGCCCCAGTGCCACCGTCCACATGCGTCCCCCACACCCATTTCGGCACCCCCCTCACACGTCTCGTGTCCCCATCGGGAGCTCCACCGAAGGCCCCAGTGCCACCGTCCACATGCGTCACGCCACACCCATTTCGGCACATCGCTCACAGCTTTCGTGGCCCCGTGGGGAGCTACACTGATGGCCCCAATGCCACCGTCCACACGCGCCCCCACACTCGTTTCGGCACATCCCTCGCACGTTTCGTGGCCCCACAGAGAGCTCCACCGAAGGCTCCAGTGCCACCGTCCACACGCGTCCCCCGCACCCATTTCGGCACACCCTTCACACGTTTCGTTGCCCCATAGGGAGCTCGACCGAAGGCCCCACTGCAACCGTCCACATGCGCCCCCCACACCCATTCCTGCACACCCCTCACAGGTTTCGTGGCCCCATAGGGAGCTCCACCGAAGGCCCCCACCGTCCACATGCGTCCCCCACACTCATTTCCGCACATCCCTCACACGTTTCGTGGTCCCAGAGGGAGCTCCACCGATGGCTCCAGTGCCATAGCCCGCATGCCCCCCCCACACCCATTTCGGCACCTCCCTCACATGTCTCGCGGCCCCATATGGAGCTCCACCGAAGGCCCCAGTGCCACCGTCCACATGCGTCCCCCACACCCATTTCGGCACACCGCTCACACGTTTCGTTGCCCCATAGGGAGCTCCACCGACGGCCCCAGTGCCACCGTCCACATGCGTCCCCCACACCCACTTCGGCACACCCCTCGCACGTTGCGTGGCCTCATAGGGAGCTCCACCGAATGCCCCAGAGCACCGTCCGCATGCGCCCCCCGCACCCATTTCGGCACACCCCTCACACGTTTCGTGGCCCCATAGGGAGCTCCACCAATGGCCCCAATGCCACCGTCCACACGCGTCCCCCGCACCCTTTTCGGCGCACCACTCACACGTTTCGTGGCCCCATAGGGAGCTCCACCGCAGGCCCAGTGCCACCGTCCACATGCGTCCCCCACACCCATTTCGGCACACCGCTCACACGTTTCGTTGCCCCATAGGGAGTTCCACCGACGGCCCCAGTGCCACCGTCCACATGCGTCCCCCACACCCATTTCGGCACATCCCTCGCACGTTTCGTGGCCCCGCAGGGAGCTCCACTGAAGGCCCCACTGCCACCGTCCACATGCGTCACCCCGCACCCATCTCGGCACACCGCTCACACCTTTCGTGGCCCCATAGGGAGCTCCACCGAAGGCCGCAGTGTTACCGTTCACATGCGTCCCCCGCACCGATTTTGGCACACCGCTCACACCTTTCGTGGCCCCATAGGGAGCTCGACCGACGGCCCCAGTGCCACCGTCCACATGCGACCCCACACCCATTTCGGCACCCCTCTCACACGTTTCGTGGCTCCGTACGGATTGCCACCGAAGGAGATATTCACAATTGCGGTACTCACGGCTGCATGCGGTTGGGTCCTTCGCCAGGCTAATTGGCTTCCGAGTGGGCCGACCGCGCGCGTTTCCCGATTCTGGCTCTCCGGTCTTCCACGTCTCGACGCCGCGCGCGAGGCCGCGACGCTAAAACGTGTGTGTGTGTGTGTGTGTTTGTGTGTTTGTGTGTGTGTGTGTGTGTGTGTGTGTGTGTGTGTGCGTGTGCGTGTGCGTGTGTGCGTGTGTGACTGACAAAGATGGCGTGGTTGTGTTCAGCCTGGGTGCCGATTGAGCCGCTCGTAAGCTAGCGTTCATGTGGTGGGGGCAGTGGAAGTCGGAGATGAACCGCCCGGGTGGAGTATTCTGATGGTCTCGTTGCTGTTTTCGGTGTAAAAGTCATATCCTGCTTCATGTAAGCTTGAGTGAGTTCACCTTCCATCCAGCCAAGTATTGAATGAGGTGACTGGTCGCAGTGGACGTCTGGGCGGAGATTGACCATGCAGTCCTGGGTCTCCGCTGCCATCGCTCGGCATTCGCAGTTCGCACCCAGAGAGTAACTTCCAGAGCCAATAGAGCATGCCGTTCTGCGAGCCATGCCGTTTCAGGAGCTCCAGAAGCTTTTCGGGGCCTCCCGTAGCGTTTGGAGCCACGTGCGGCTCCCACGCCCCCCTCCTCGCAACCCCTTCGGGTCGCATGCGGGTCCAGTGCGCTTGTTGTTTGCAGCTGACAGCTCGCAAGTCCAGAGGGGCTATTCGTTGAAGCGTGGCCTCGAGGCACCGTTGAGGTCATTCGGGTTTCAAGCTTTCGCAAGCCTCCCTCTGAAAGTGGTGCGTCAAGAATGGTGGATGTGTGGTTGAACGTTGGTGTGAAAGGCGCACATAACCGTCATTTTCAAGTCCGGTGACCGAGCAAAGCCGCAGAATTATAGCCCTATCACGGTTATACCGGTTCTATCAAACTATTTACCAGACTTTTATGTAACCGAGGGGGACCGACATTAGACCCGCAATAACCGCCAGACCAAGCAGGATTCCGCAAGCAGTACTCCACGGAGGACCATTCATTCGCATTGACTATGATTCAGGAAAAGACGCACGAACGGCAAATGCCACTTTGGATTGCTACACTTGATCTTTAAAAGGCCTGTGACACAGTATCCCACGGCTCATTGTGGAAAGCACTGAGACAGCAAGGCGTCTCTGAAGGCTATATCGATTTGCTCTGACGCTTGTACGCCGACCAGACGGGTACCGTCTCCACCGACATGACGAGCAAGACCTTCCAAATTCTACGTGGGACCAAACAGGGAGATCCTCTGAGGTCTCAGCTTTTCAATGCGCTGTCCGAAGCCATCTTCCGGGCGATCCAACCCAGGTGACAAAGATTCAAGTACGGTCTACAATTTGGCTTTTCTGAAAGAAGGATGACACATTTACGAGTCGCTGACGATGTATTGTTGGTTGCCAAATCTCTCAGACAAGTGACGTGTATACTACAAGATATCCAGTGCGAAGCCGCCAAGGCTGGATTAATTTCACCCGGATAAAACAAAAATGTTGCACAACCAGAGCGAATGCCGACAAAGGACACGCCCGGAATATAGTTCTGTCTCTGATAACACGCTCCCCTCTGGAAATACTCACGCAAGTTGTGTCGCTACGTGTTTGGGACGAAAAGTGGCATTCCAGAACCCCCACAACACGGAAGTCGAGAATCGCATCGCTGCCGGCTGGAGATAGTTCTAGATGTTGAAGGAAGCACTTACCCGGCGACCGTACTCGCTTCGCGATTGGGTACGTTTATTGCATGGCACTAACACCGCATTCGTGCTTTACGGTTGTGCTTCTTGGACTTTAACTTCCGAGCTCTAGAACCGAATCAAGCGTACTCAGAGGCATATGTTGCATATGATCATTCGTCCACCACGCCGCCAGATTACGGACTCAGTCAGTGAATCTTGGGATATGTGGATTAAGTGAACCACCCACGAAGCAGAACGTGTTCTTGACCAAGTGGGGATACAGGATTGGGTTGCCATACATCGACAAAGGAAGTGCCGCTGGGCCGCCACAGTGGTCGAGGAGCCATGGAAATGGGGTCGCAAAGCGTTGACTTGGGACCCATCTGTGTCTCCAGATGTTTCTGTCCATCGAAAACAAGCCCGGCCAAGAACTCGGTGGGCGGACGACACTGTGAAGTACACGAACAATCCAGAATGGTTCAGTATCGCTTCAACTGCTGAGTGGGAGCGCCTTGAGGCTGGGTTCTTGTCTTTGACCAGAAATTGAACTTCCCCAGTGCTGCAACACAGTGCATGTGTAATGCTCCTTGGGGTGCTCTGGCCCCCACCCCGCCCAATCCCCATCGTGTGGACTCTTGCGCGCGGGCTCCCCGTCTCTCTGTCTGTGGGCATCGGGAGCCGTCCAGGTCGCCCCGACGACAGAGCAACCAGATGTTTCGTGTCATTCGGGGCGGTCCCCGCCCGCCTTTCGCGAGGCACCCCTGCCCAATCTCGGGCCGGACGGGAGGGGGGGGATTGGGAAAGGGGGGGCTACGAAACCTGCTGCGTGCAGCTGGTTTCGGCCCCGCCGCCGGGCCCATTCCTCGATGCATGGGCGCCTCCCGGCGCCGGGAGGCGCTGGGAAAATCAGCTGCGTGAGCTGATTCTCAAAACCCCCCCTTTGCCTTCCCCCCCTCTTCGCCCGGCCCGATTCAATCGCTCGGCTGCTGGCCGCGCCGGGCGGCGGTCTGCTCCGAAAGTCGGCGGCCCAATCGAACGAGCCGTCGGCCTCCGCGTGCCCAGCCGTCCGGGCCTCCCGGGCGGGCCAGGGCCAGCGGGGCAGCAGCGTCGATGCGGCAGGACTCGTTCCGACGCCTCCGATTCGGTTCGGCTCGAGCGCGGTCGGTTCCGGCTCCGATTCGACTCGACGTCGGATTCCGATCTGGATTTCGGTTTCTCAGTGCAGGCCTCACTAGCCTGCCGATTACCACCGATTCGACTTCTCCCGACTTGGCTGCTGGTTTCCACCGGTCTGGTTAATGTCGATCGCCGATCCGACTTGTCGATTCGATTTGGGGCTCCCCTGATGCGGCGCGATCTGGGATCCGGTGTTCCCCCCACCAACGTTGCCGAGGCATCGTCGTTACATCGACCATGCGGCGCGATCTTGGCGCTGCTTACTCCGGCCCCAATGCAAGAGGCCTTCGAACACGCTTCGAATGGGTTCGGTCGCTCCTCTTGTGAGCTGCTTGCTCTGGCGAGTGCGAAAGGTTTTTGTGCGCGTATGCGCGAGGGACACGTTTTGTGTGTTCGCGCGCGCGCCCGTGTGTGTATGTATGTATGTACGTACGTACGTACGTACGTACGTATGTATGTATGTATGTATGTATGTATGCATGCATGCATGCATGCATGCATGCATGCATGTATGTATGTATGTATGTATGTATGTATGTATGTATGTATGTATGTATGTATGTATATATGTATGTATGTATATAGGTATGTATGTATGTATGTATGTATGTATGCATGCATGCATGCATGCATGCATGCATGTATGTATGTATGTATGTATGTATGTATGTATGTATGTATGTATGTATGTATGTATATAGGTATGTATGCATGTATGTATGTACGTATGTATGTATGTGTATGTATGCATGCATGCATGCATGCATGCATGTATATGTATGTATGTATGTATGTATGTATGCATGCATGTATGTATGTATGTATGTATGTGTATGTATGTATGTATGTATGTATGTATATGTATGTATGTATGTACGTATGTATGTACGTATGTATGTATGTATGTGTGTATGCATGTATGTGTGTATGCATGCATGCATGCATGCATGCATGCATGCATGCATGCATGCATGTATGTACATATGTATGTATGTATGTATGTATGTATGTATGTATGTATGTATGTATGTATGTATGTATGTATGCCTGTCTGTATGTATGTATGCATGCATGCATGTATGTATGTATGTATGTATGTAGGTATGTATGCATATATGCACGTCTGTGTATATATGTATATCTGCATGCATGCATGTATGTATGTATGCATGTCTGTCTGTCTGTCTGTCTGTCTGTCTGTCTGTCTGTCTGTCTGCCTGCCTGCCTGTCTGTCTGTCTGTCTGTCTGTCTGTCTGTCTGTATGTAGTATGTATGTAGATATACAGATCGATCTGTGTGTATCTCTCTCTCTCTCTGTGTGTGTGTGTGTCGGTGCGTTTTCTTTTTTGCTTACAAGTGCTTCAACGTGTACTGCTTTTTGCTGTGCTTTGTGCCATCGGCGAGGCGTGGCTGCCAGAGGCCAGCTCGGCGCCGTCTGAGCACGCGGGGGCACTCTGAAGGCAATGTTTGGGCCAGGCTTTTTCTCGCTGCCTCTGCTCGCTCCCCCGCCCGCCCCTCGAGAGGGCGACTACAAGTTCCCGTCGCCGATATTTACCTTCCTGGACCAGGTCAAGGAGTCAGAGGAGGAAAAGATGCCCACACCGCTACCCTTGCCTCGTTCTCATCTTTTTGGGCCTCCCGGGGGGGCCCTCGCCGCCACCGCTGGCTTCGCCTCGAGATTCTGGCCAGAACGCCCCCCTGGCAGAGTTCCGGGGAGCAGCTGCATGTGGGGTACCTTCTTGGCCCCCCCACAGGAGGGCGGCTGGAAGCCCCCGAGGTGTCGGCAGAGCACCAACATTCCGGCGCTGCTGGTCTCGAGGGGGGCGAGCAGCGCCAGCGGCGGTGTTGGAGTGGCCGGGATGGGGGCCGGCTGCGGGCCGGCGGCGGCACGCAGCGGCAGCGGTGGCGAAGGGTTCGAGGGGCCCTTCGGGGTCACCCTCCCTCGCTCCTCTCCCCTGCTCCTGCTCCCCCCTCCTCCCTTGTCCACCGTCCGTTGTCCCTCCTCCCTCCTCCCTGCTCCCTCCTGCACCTCCTCTTCCTTCTTCTTCCTCCTCTTCCTTCTCCTCCTCCCTCCTCCTCTTCCTCCCTCTCTTCCTCCTCCTCCTCCTCCTCCACCCTCCTCCCCCTCCTCCTCCTCCCTCCTGCCTCCTCCCTCCTCCCTCCTCCTTCTTCCCTCCTCCCTCCTTCCTCTTCCTCCTCCTCCTCCTCCTTCTCTTCCTCCTCCTCCTCTTCCTCCTCCTCCGTTCTTTTTCCTTATGCAAAAATTCGCCCTGTCGCGCCCCGAGGCCAGTTGTAAGGGCGGGCTGGGCGTTTTGCCTGAGCCTTCCTCACCAGTTATGACCGTGAAGCTTAAAAGTTGACAGCAGTTTCACAGATGGAGGGCGGGTCCTTTTCAAAATGTGGCTCTCGCCTTTGCGCCGCGCACACTCGGTTAAACTTATTGCAAGAGCTTCGCAGATGGAGGGCGGGTTGTTTTAACATGTGGCTCCTCGCTGTAGCGCCGCACACATTCGTTAAAACAATTGCAAGATGTTCGCGGATTCAGGGCGGCTCCTTTTCAAAACGTGGCTCTCGCCTTAGCGCCGCGCGCATTTGTTTTAGGCAGTTGCAACAGTTTCACGGATTCCCAGGATCAACGTACCAGAACATGTGTTTTGGAAGGGTTCAGGGTTATAAGTGTACAACAGTTACGTTGATTCGCGGTGTTGCAGTCCCAGGAATGGCGCTCTGACACGATTCAGGATCGTCAAGACGCAACAGTGAGGTTGATCCGTGGCGTTGGAATCCCGAGAACAAAGTTTCGGCATACTTCAGGGTCTTCCGACGCCTACAACGAGCCAGTTCCCTCAGTGGAAATGAACCGTTGTAGGGGTCTATGAAGAGGGAGCTTGGAGGGAGGGTTGATTCATTCCAACATCGTTGATGACTCTTGGGCTCACACTGTTCCTCCTCTTTCTCCTACTCCTCCTCCTCCTCCTCCTACCCCGTCGTGGCCAGCAGGGGCTCACTTGCGGCAGTCAGCATGGGCGGAAACGAGCCCTGGCCACTGGGACTGCCAGGGCCAGGCGGGAGGGGAGTAGACGGTTGCGGCGAGATGCCGTGCTGGCAGCAGCTGGGGCCACAGGGGCTACCAGGGGGGGCCTGCGGCGGCACCCGGCGCGGGCGGCAACCAGAGCCGGCGTGGCTGCCGGCGAGTTCCGCTCAAGCAGGAACATAAAGAAGGACAAGCACGGAGCCTCTCGGTGCACTGTTGGGGGGTTGCGCATGCTGCCGTGGCGTGGACCGCCCACAGGTAGGTGCTCAGAGCAATGTGGGTGAAGCCACAGGGGTCCAGGGGAGTCGGCCGCGCGCAGGAGGGGGGTAGCGGGAGGGGGGCAGGCCTCCGGGAAGCACCCCTGCTCCCGGGGAGGCGCGGGCCTTGCCTGTGGGTGCAAAGCCGCCGCCTTCTAAGGAGCAGCCTCCCTCTCGGGAGCCTCCCCCCCTTCCCCTACACCCCCCCCCTCCTGCGCGCCGTGAGAGGAGGCCACTCCACAGGATGGCAGTCCACAGGGCCGCGGGGGCCACAGGGGGGCCGAGGAGGAGGAGGAGGAGGAGGTGGAGGAGGAGGAGGCGTGAGAGGAGGAGGAGGAGAGGAGGAGGTGGAGGGAGGGGAGGAGGAGGAGGAGGAGGAGGAGGGAGAGGAGGAGGAGGAGGAGAGAGGAGGGAGGAGGAGGAGGAGGGAGGAGGAGGAGGAGAGAGGGAGGAGGAGGAGGAGGAGGAGGAGGAGGAGGAGAGGAGGAGGAGGAGAGAAGGAGGAGGAGGAGGAGGAGGAGGAGGAGGAGGAGGAGGAGGGAGGAGGAGGAGGAGGAGGAGGAGGAGGGGGCCCTGCGGCCGAGCCCCAGGGACGGGGCCCTCCGCACCCCCCGCCCGCGGAGGACGAGGAGCCCCCCCGGCAGCAGGGCAGGCCGCCAGAGCGGCCTTTTGGACCGCCCTGGCCGCACGCGGATGCCCCGCCGACCCAGACGTCTGGCGATCCGATTCTTCGACGAGCGGTCCCAGAGGCAGGGCTCGTTCCGATGCCTCCGACTCGATTCGATTCTCCACTTCGATGGCCTCCGATATTCCGGGTCGATGCGACTGCGGATTCCGATTCGGATTCCGGTGTCTCATGGGAGGCATGCTCGCCTGCCGATTTCTGCCAGTTCGACTTCTCCCGACTCGGCTGCCGATTTCCGATCCGATTCATTTCGATCGCCGATCCGACTCATCGATTCGATTCTGGGATCTCCTCCCAAAGGTCCCGACCCCCTCCCCGGGGTCAGTTTTTCGCCCCGGATCCGTTCCTCAGCGTCCCGGGGCTCGGTGGCGGAACTTGGGGGCCGAAATCGCCGACCCCCTCCCCGGGGTCAGTTTTTCGCCCCAGATCCGTTCCTGAGCGTCCCAGGGCTCGGTGGCGGACCTAGGGGGCCGACATCGAGGCAACGCCCTGATTACTGAAGCTACCCGATCGTCCGAGATTTGGGCATATCGCCCTCTTGTGGGCGCCCACGCCTGCGCTGCGATCCCCTATCGGGAGGAGCGTGCCCAGCAGACAGAGAGGGAGAGCGAGCGGGAGAAAGAGAGATAAGGGGGCCACATGTTAACGCTACCCCCACCCCCCACGATTTCTGAGGGGGAGGGTGGGATAGGGTTCGCGTGTGGCCCCCTAAGAGAGAAAGCGAGAGCGCCACCCATGGCTCCCGAGGGAGTGCCCAGGCGTCCCCCGCGGCCTCCCCCGCCGCCCACCGCGAGTCGCACCCCTCGCGCGGGTGTGGCGCGTGCGGCAGGCGCGTGCCGTGCTGGCCGCGGCAGCGACCCCGCCGCGGGAGGTCCGGGATGAGCGCCGCCAGAGGCTTAGACTTCAGTCGGGCCTGTCCCCCCACAGGGGGGCTTTCAATGAAAAATAAAAAATACCCCCAAAATAGTCCAAAGATGATCCAAAAATGGTCTGGGGACTATTTTTTGAATATTTTTTTGGCCTTTTTGAGATTTTTTTTGGGGGGTATTTTTGATTTTTCGTCGAAAATTCCCCTGTAGGGGGACAGGCCCGACATAAGCTTAGACTCGGCCAATTCGGAACAGTCTGGCAATCGAAACGCCGCCGATCGTTCAAGGTTGAGAAAGATCCACGTGTTTCAGAAACCATCGCCCGGGCCGTCACGACACGAACCTGCTGTACGGCCTCAGTGGGCACGTTCGCATGCGTCCCCCGCCCATTTCGGTGCACACCCCTCACGCTCATCGCGACCCACTGCACATGTTTGGGAGACTGACCTTGGGCTGTACCGGGTGCCTGTGTTCCCAACCGTGCTCCTGGGCTTCGGGGACCTTCCTGGCGACCAGCTTCGGACGTTCACGACGAACCGTGGGACCTCATGAAAATCCTGGCCCGCAGTCCCTCGTAGTCCTGCGCATCCATGAGGGCACTCCACATCGTGCCAAAGGGGCTTGGAGGCGGATTGCTTTTAAAAGGTGTAGGCTCGTTCGGTTGCCGCGGGAAGGACGACATTTAGAAGGTTGAATAGAGCAGGAGCAGAAGGAATTTGGAGGACGAGATGGATGGGGATCTGGAGACGCTCGATGAATTGTGGGTTGGGATTGCTCCCTGCCGAGGTCTTGTTGAGACCGTTTAGCTCAAGCAGTATTACTGTCAACGAGGACCGCAAGCAGGAGGCTCATCAGTATCGGTGCACCTGCCGTTGAGGGTTTTCCAACCGATTGTGCATGCTCAGCAAAGTGAAACGACGACGCGGCTCGGCGTCAGCGCAGGCAGAGGGTTTGATGGGGTAGCTCGGGCACGCGGGATTCTTCTGCTCCCCGCCTCCGTTGGCTTTAGGTGCGAGGATGGTCTTCTTTGCGTGTGTTCGGAAACTGGAACGTATACATTACCAGTGGCGGCCTGTTCCTTGAATCCTAGGACTTTTTGAGGGTCGGGGACGACGTCGGGGTGGTGTGGTGTATACTGTTTCCTCCGTTTCTCAAGGAAGCAACGAAATACATATATATATATATATATGTATAAGCATATATATACACTTATATATATATATATATATATATATACACCAGGATCCCGTATACACCAGGATCCGCTTTCTTGTTTGCAGACTTCAGTGCAGGGCCGGAAAAGGCGTCGGTGTAGATTGTTTGGTTCCCTACTTGTCATGTTTCTGGCGTCGTCGGGTACTGCAGATCTACAGGGGTGGGTGGACAAGGACGGTCACGTGTGGGCTCGGAGGGGGGGCCATGGGAATGCGCTCCGTCGCGATGTCGTCCCTCTTGCTTCCACAGTTCTTTTGAGGGCAGGGACGTGGAGCAGAAGTGCGGGACTCTCGTGGAATGAGCATTGTGGGAATGACGAGCACGTGTTGGCCGATTTCGTTGTCGCGTGTGCATCTATCCGAAGGGACCTGCAAGGACGAAGGGGGGCAGTGGTGTGACATTCCAGAGCCGTTCTGGGTCAATCCGCGTTGGCTATGTAGCACCTTGTCGGTACCTATTTCGGACTCACTGGAAACATATTTCGCTACATGGGATCGCATGATTTGCCCATGGAGGACACCATTCGACTGAATAGCGAGAACGCTCGCCTCCGAGCGTTGTGGTTTCCCATATTCTGAGGGCGCATGCCAGATCAGCCGACCCTTCCACTCGAGTGCGTTCCGTTTGGTCGAAGGATGGAAGTCTCCAGGTGCCTGCGGGTAGTTCAGGGCAGCGTGGCATCGGCCATTTGGCGGTCGCCACGTGATGTGGGACGATCGATGCGGCATGATTTTTAGGTTTGTCATCACCATGGCCGTGGCCGATACCATGGTCTCACTCGCTGTCACCATCACCGCCATCACCATCACAATCCTCCTCGTCGTCGACGTCGTCATCATCATCACCACCATCATCATCATCATCATCATCATCATCGTCATCGTCATCGTCATCGTCATCGTCATCGTCATCGTCATCGTCATCATCATCATCATCATCATCATCGTCATTATTATCATCATCGTCACATCATCATCATCATTATCATCATCATCATCATCATCATCATCATCATCATCATCATCATCATCATCATCATCATCATCATCATCATCATCATCATCATCATCATCATCATCATCATTATCATTATCATTATCATTATCATTATCATTATCATTATCATCATCATCATCATCATCATCATCATCATCATCATCAGCGTCATCAGCGCCATCATCACCACCATCATCATCGTCAGCACCATCATCATTTCGGCATCACGGCCTGAGGCCGTCTGGGGAGAGGAAGCCATGTAGGCAGCGTTCTAGAAGTTTCTGTCAACAGGTGACTCTCATGTGGGATGAGTTTTAGCGTAAACGGCTTTGCCTGCACAAGTATACCCTGGCTTGTGACGCTCGATTATGTGTGACAGCAGCGAGGGTCCGTAGCCATTTTGGCTCAAGTTCCCAACCCACGTGGGGGGGGTTGGGAACTTGCCGCGGCCGTGGGCTCGTGGGCCCACCAGCAGTTTTGGCGCTGAGCCGCGCGCGCCGCGGCGCGGCGCATGCAGAGCCTGCCCGGGGGGTGCTGGTTGTGCCTCCCCAGCCTTCCGCCGGGCCTGGCCAGGCACCTGGCGGTCGGCCAGGCGCCGCCGATCCCTGCAGCTCCGGGCGTGTGGCAAGACCCCGGCGATGCCGCCGAAGGGGCGGGGGAGGCTGCCGTGGGGGCGGCAGGCGGCGGCAAGGGCGAAGGCGCGCCCAGGCAAGGCGGCGGCACCGCGGGGCCGACCTCCCCGCGAGGTCCGGCTGGCGCACCCGCCCGGCGGGGGGGCAGCAGTGGCGGCACCGGCGGAGCCGGCGCGCGAGGAGTGGGCTCCGGGGCGGGCTCCAGCAACCCTGCCAAGGCGCCGACACCAGGGGGACGGCTCCTGGAGAGCCCCGTGCCGGCCGACCCACCGTGGCAGGAGCCCAAGCGCCGCTTCCGGCCAGCCCCGCAACCAGGCTGGACGGGGCTCGGGGGCGACGCGGGAGCTTTGGCGGCGCTCCAGGAGCCCGCCGACGAGGCGCCGGAGCAGCCGCGGCCGCTCGGGGTCGGCGAGAGCGCCGCGGAAGCGGCACCTGAGGCGCGCGCGGCGGCGCAGCCGCAGCCGCAGCCGCAGCCGCGGCCGCCTGCCCCGCGGGCACGACTGGCGCCGCTCCCCCGCGCGGCCGGGCGGGCCCGCTCGTGGCCTGCCGCGCACAGCGCCCCTCCCCCCCTGGGCGGGCGCGCCGGCCCGCCCCGCAGGCGGGGCCGCCGACGGCAAGGCCAGCAGCGGAGCCAGCGGCTGACCGCGCGGAGCCGCCGCGCTCCGAAGAAGAGGACGAGGAGGACAGCGGCAGCTACTCCTACGAGACGGACGAGGAGGCCGACCCAGCGGGCGCGCAGGCAGCCACGGCACCGGCTGCCCCTCCAGCGACGCTGAGCACAGCAGCGCCTCGGGCGACCGAGCCGGGCGCAGCAGCAGCAGCAGCGGCAGCGGCGGCAGCTGCCGAGCCGGGCGGCGGCGGCGACGCCCGCCGCGCGACACCCGCCACCGCGGACCCGCTGGCACCGGCCCCGGAGGCCCCGGGGCGACGGACGCGGCCGGCCCAGCCCGGCCCGCGGACGACGGCGCCGAGCCCGCCCGGCCCTGCAGCGCCGGCAGCGGCCTGCCCGGCGGACCCAGCGGCGACGGAGCAGGGCGGGACGCCAAGGAGCTGGTGACCCTGGCGCTTCGGCGGGCGGGGCTCCAGGGGCCTGCGGGCTTCGTGGTAACGAGCCTCGCGGAGGGCCAGCTCCTCATCCGCTGGCGCGGGCCGGGGGAGGCCAAGGCCCAGGGCCTGTGAGCCCCTGCCGTGGCGACGCCGCCGCGACCACTGCTGACCGGCCAGACCCTCCGGCGACGGTGGGCCTGGATGCGGGCGACTTCCCCATCGAGGAGGAGTACGACGCGCTGGACGAGCCCGCCTTGCTGCTCGAGCGGGCAGCCACGCCGCCGCCGCCGCCGCTGGCGACCCGGCGGACGGCGCTGCGCACGCCAGACCGCGCCTGGGCCGACGCCGTCGACGGAGTCGATGGCGGCCTCGCGGTAGACACGCCGCCGCGCGCGGGCGGCGCCGCTGCCGCAGGCCGCGCGACCGCGCGAGGCAGGGGCGCCAGTAGCGACGGGGAGACCGGCTGCGGGAGCTCGGCGCCGCGCCGCCGCCGCCGCGGGCGCGGCCGCTGCGGCGGCCGGGGTGGCGACTTGCCAGCCCTGGCGGCGTCCGGCGGCGAGGCGGCGGGCGGGGCTGCGCGGGCGGCGGAACGGCCCGCGGGGCCAGCTGGCGCTGGCGGTGGCCCGGCTGCCTGAGGCGCGGCGGCCCGCGGGACCACCGCGGCGGGCGCGCCCGGCAGCGACGGTACTCCGGCTGCTGGC